ACATGCTGACACTTCTCTTGCTGCCAAATTCATTCAGCGATGCTCTGGGCCTAGGAAGAAAGTACCTGAATTGCCCAAAGGGCTGGGCTCAGGTGACATATATTTTTGGCATGAAAGTGAAAATAGTGTAATAAAATATTTTAGTAGCATGCTTCTATCACTGTTATATTGAACCCAGTCCTCAGATCACAGCTCCTTAAAGAGACTGAAAAAACTTCTATCCATACACCTATCCTTTGTCATCACTATTACCATTCCATATCTGCCCATGCGCGGGTCCAATTCAACTTCATGACAAAGCCTTATATTTAAATTGTGCTATATTTTTAAGTTACAAATTAAGAGGCCTCATGTCTTGAGAGTACTCTCTTCAGGATGCAGTCACCTGGGCTACAACTATCAAAGGGTTTCTTATGTACCAAAACCCCTGAGAAAAGTAACACCATGCCGTAAAAGTGTTTTAAATATACGGCAGAAGAGAATTTTTACTGACAATGGAGAGAAAGAACTTGAAAGCAGGAATGACTGAAACAGGACTAAAAGAGAGTATCTAAGGTGGAGAAGACAGAAAAACAACACAGGAAGAAGAGAGGTAGGTGGTAGTGAAGACTAATCCTCACCGTTTTGACTATATTGCTCTACTGCTTCATTTTGAACATGCCAACATCATATCTCTATGGGCAATAAAAACAGAAGTTATTTTTAGTATCTTTTGAAAACCATTAGAAAAAGAGCTAGAATCATTTCAGGATAGATGTATTTCTTCCTGTTAAGAACACACCCTCTTACTGAAGCTTCTAAAGTCAATGTTGGGTAAATTATTCACGGTGGCCACAACCACATATTTCTTCCTAATACAAGATCATGCAGTTGAATTCTGAGAAATCACTTTCTGACTGACTTTTTTCCAGCACCCCATCTAAGTCAACAGCCCTGAAGTACTGTGTACTGTGAAAATTTTAAAAAGGAAAGTTCATTTAAAGTGGAATCCAGATCTCAGAATGGGAAGTTCTCACACCCTAACACTTGTCATCAATTGCAGGAATATATGGTCCTTGTAAGTCCATACTGCTTTACTATCCTTGCAGGAGGAAGAAAGGTTTTCTATTCTCCCCAGTAGCAGCCCCAGCCAATAAGAGACTGTCACAACTCAGCCAATGAAAAGCCACTATACTGAGAACCCTAGATTATTTCAATAGGCTTTTTGTTTATAACAGCCCTTCTCAAATGCCCACCCCCCACTCCTTTCTTCTATAAAAGAGAATTTTCCTCCTTTGGGCTTTCCTATGGTTTTGCTATAGTTTACTTCCCTATGGTTTAGCTATAGCTTGCTGGTCCTAAATTGCAATTCTCTATTATTCCCGAATAAACCCATTTTTGCTGGTAAAATAACGGCCAGCTTCATTTTTAAAATTAACAGTACATAGAGCAATTTAGAGAGTTTTGTGGAAACGATCCTTTAAATTTAAGGAAATGAAGTAAAGAGAAGAAAGATTAAAACACACCGACAAGCAGCAATTTGTTGAAAAGGAAGTGAGTCGGTGTCTCTACTATAATTCACAGAACTCAGAGTGGAATGTTTTTGGAGTATGCATCCTATGAATTAAACTTCCTACTTTTCATGTTATCACAGTTTCATTAGAGGCAAATTCCTTTGAATTTGAGTGTTTCAGGCATTTGTCTGAAGGAACTCATTCATGAGTAAGATTTTAAAAATTGTGCATAGTTCACTCCAACCAAGAACAATCTTCTCACTCTCGGGCATTGGAAGATGGCTCTAACTAAGAGGTTCATTTATTTTTCTGCACCTGTGATTTTGTTCCTAACTGGTGTGAAGTGCCACTGAATATCTGGTTCAAAATCAGGACTTCTGTTTTCCAAATTACTGAGCTCCCTTTTCATTTGCAGGTGAGTCAAGAAGGCATCCTCTATTTATGTTACTGCCTTCTATGTAATGCTTGAGGAGAAAAGAGAGGTAGCTATTTAACAAGTGGAGTGGGAGAGAAGGAAAGCTATCTTAGCATTGTTTTAAAACAAAGGACATATCTAAAATGCTTTATGAGGCAATCCTAGCTAGATATTTCTTTTCTGTTCTTATATTAATCATACTTTCCTAGATGCTGATAGGTGAATCATAATCCATAGTATCCCACATATCATATTTGGTGTATCTCCATTAACTAAACACTCAGTCTACCTGATGTTGACCATCAACTCTAGGTCTACATCAAGTGTAAATAAGGCAAAAATCTAACCTGTTAACAACTGACAGGGAAATTTCGGTCTTTCAATTTCCCCTTGGAAAACTTGGAAGAAAATAGGGCAAACAGGGAAAGAAAGGAGTCTCTCCCTATGACTGTCAGCCACCATATGTAATATATTCATTTCTCACTGTTCATTGTTTACTATGTTATGGAACCAGGAAAAATAACTTTGTATTATCCCTGGGTTATTAGAAGTGTCTGATTGCTTGGAGTTAATTCTTTGGATCTAAGGAGTTTGTATATACAGTGTAATTTTTTCAACCTAGGAGCAAGTTGAGTTTCTTTGCAAAGACCATCTTTTTTTGTTGTTTTTGTTTGCTGGTTGGCTGATTGATTTTTTTTTTAAGGATATGGAGATGCTCCTAGGGACACATGCTACCCCTTCCAACCTCTCAGGTGGTGATTCCAATGCTCTGCTCACACAGTGCACAGCGAAGCTAGAAGCTATGTGCTGGGCAGTGCTAGGCAGGGCTAAGCAGCACTAGGCAGGGCTGGGTGGGGCTAATGTTGGATGAAGAGCATCTTTGCATAGTCAACTTCCTGCTTTAGAGCACCTCCCATAGTTTCGGCCCATTAACCCGAGCACAACAGCTTGATGAATTAATGCTTATATAGGCACAGTTGGCAGCTTCTAATTAAATAATTATGGTTAAGCGTCTGCACAGAGGCTGTGCTGCACCCTAGAAAGCCAGCTGTCAGTTTCATTGGTCCTAAGACAGAGGAAGAGTTAATACTTAGCTCTAGATGTTACATACAAAGGGAAGTATATCGTATACAATATACATACTGTGTAATATGAAGTTGCATTGTGCTTGTGCTAGCCCGTCCATTAGTGACGGGAGCAAACTGCTCCCCTGCAGCCTCTCAGCAACCCAACAGAGAAGGAAGCAATTATATGGTCAGCAGAGCAGAACGCGTTCAGAGCAATTTAAAGAGGACACAGTGTTAGATGGATGAGTCTTTGATGAACACACAAATGTCAGCGAGCTAGCAGGCAAATATGTTTCAGGTTCTGGGTCTCATTTAGATGAGCAAGTGATAGAAATCTAATGTGGGCTTTTTACAGGTGGTTGTTGATGGTGCGTTTTCACTGACTTGCCTAATGCTTCTTAAGATGCTGTTTTCAAATATTAGAAATTGGAGAACAAGGCAAATATCACAAACCTAGGTTTGAACTCTTTCTAAGATGCATTTTTCCCAAAAGTTAGGAACTGATATTTTTTCTACAGAATTACAGATAATGTCAGATTCCTTTATAGAAGGCTGAAAAGCTAGTGTCTTATCTCAACACCAGTGGGGAAATTCACCCAAAGAAATAAAGCTGTATCTGGTGACTAAACTCCAGTGTAGAGGAAGATATAGATTATAAAGGCCATTGATAGGTTTGCTGGACCAAATAATGCTTGTTATTACACATCAGTATGTTCCTGAATTGACAGCCGATTTCATTTTTCTCCACAGGCTGTCCTTTCCACACAATCCATGTGTCCTCACTTCTAAAAACTGAATGTGGGATACCTCAGCATAGAACAACTCAGCTTGCCACTGGCCTCTTACTAGGGTTCCCAGCACCATCTCCACAGGAGTAAACCCAACTGGAGGCAAAAATCAGTCCAAGAAATTCAGTCATACTTTCATGTTTTTTTAAAAAAATAGACATTTTAGTCTCCCAAATTTATGGATTTGCCTTAAAATAAGAATAGAGGAAACCAAATTTTAACGCGGACACATTTCTTATGGAATTCACTTCACCCCAACTCCCAGGCCCTGGTGAAAACCAACTGTTAAATCAGGCACTAAACTACAGAATAACTTACTGCTCTCCCTCCAGAGATCAAGGCTTACAGTTTATTTAGAACAATGCCATTTCATAAAACAAAGCAACCTATACCTTAAGTCATCGTTAAAGCAAATGGACCGACCTCTAAGTGTTTATTTAAAATGCTTCCCCAGAACAATTGTTTCCATTCCTTTCTCCCCCTCCCATTTCCTTTTACGTCAGTAATTCTATCACCTCAGCTGTCTGAAGCTACTTGGTCGTGATTGACAATTCTCAAAGATCTAGTTCCTTTTAGGTGGATCATAAACGAAGTTCAGTATGATGAAGTCGGCTGTGCAACTCAAGTCTCAGTACAAAATGCTAAAGAATCAAATAGATTTGTAAAGCCTATAAAAGCAAGTTTCAGACTTGGTGGGGGAGATAGGGGGTCTTTTTATCAGTCTATACTGCCATCTATCTAAGCAAAACCACATCATTTGGTTTAACATCCATTTGTGTTTTCAAAGCCCCTAATGAAAGCAAGTCTCCAGCAATGGCTTAACAGATCCCAGAGTTCCGATAACAGAAATGGACAGCACCACCACATTCACTCTGAGTCTGCCAGTCTCCCGTGGACCAACAGCCAAGTTCTAACCATCGTCTTATCCTTACAACTCGATATCTGGCAAGCAGACACACACATCTCCTTTCATTTCCCGTATCACCTAAACCAGTATCATTTGCATCTTGTGATTTCGGAGGCCTCTGAATATTCTGTGATGTCATTGATAAAACAGATAAAAGTTGCTTTGATAAGACATGAGACCTGAATTATAGACTCTAGCATTCTAGCTATACCTCAGAAGTTTAAAACAAACAAACCCAAATAATATTCCTTAGACAGGAATGAACATGCAGACAACAAACATCTGTAGAGAGAATTGATACAGATGAAAAATAGAACCCTTTGTACTTACGGTAGAAGACATATTCAGTGTAGCTTGACCAGATCTTGTCATCTGTATATTGGTTGACAAAAGATGCTGTCACCGAGGAGTTACAGGCCACCATGTGGAATCCACACTCTGACAACATATCAAATGCCCTTTCCAGATGCTTGAATTTGAGATAAAATCTGGAGGTGTATCTTTCTGGGGCTCGGTCAGGGTCTCTGCTCTCATTCAAAGTTTCTCCAAAGACCTCTTTTGCCAAGGAAATCCTTCCACAAACCAAAATCCGAGGAACTCTACGAAACTTGGCATCTGCCTGCCCCTCTCTGCCCATGGTGCAGGACCCCCTGTAACCCACAGTAATGAAGCCCCACTTGCGGTCCGCAGGGAGCACTGAGGAAGGAGGGCAGATTCTCGTGTCGCTTCCTTGGGAGGCATCTTCAAAGTCACTATGGCAGAATTCGTCTGGGCTTTGCTTGATCTCATCGGGGGTCAGGAGTTTGACCAAGTCTGGGAGCTGGAAGTACTCAGCTTCCCTTTTCAGTCTTCCCCGTTCTGGAAAGTGATCAGGCAGGACCACCTGCCTGTCCCTGAGATAGTCCAGAATATAACGGAACAAGAATCCATCTCTGTCAATGAAAAACCTTCCTTTGGAGTCCTTGGCTAGATCGTTAGCCATGTCTCTCTTTGGGGAAAACATTTTCCACAGGAAGGAATGAGGGATGCTTATTAATGTGGAATGGCGGGTGAAATAAACTTGACCACCAACATTCAGCTCCACGACCTCAGGGAAGGAGTTGGGAACTGCAGCCCCTTGTTCTCGAGGATAATAACGACTACAGTTTCCACTCAAAGCCATTGTCCCTTTCTTCTTTTTCTTCTCCTATTTTGATTTGAAGGTGCAATCCAATGGAGTCACAGCCTTATCCTTTGCATCAACTTGTCAAAGAGGGAGAAGGACGCTAACTTGTTAAAAAATGACCTTCTCTCTTACCCCAGTTTTTTTTTTTCCCCAAGCAAGCAAAATTTAGAAGAGTCCACAGGTGAAGTGATGCTGCAAAAGTAGTTTAAACCCTGGCTGGTGGTGAGCTATTACTTCATAGAATATAATCAACTCATCTCCATCCGATCTGCCCCAAGCTCAGTAGGCAAGGCAGGCCAAGTCCCCAGTTACTCAGAGGTCTGTCTGAAGGAAAAGAGAGAAAATTATTTCCTCAAACCCAGCATGAGTCAGAAAAAGAGACACCGCTGGAAAGAGGAGAGGGAGGGAGAGGGAGGGAGAGAAGAAGGGAGGGAGGGAGGGAGGAAGGAAGGGAAAGATTATTTGACATAAGCAGCCTGGAACTACCGATTTCAGCCATTCTTCAACTAAATCGTGGCTTCTTTCAAGCTATTTTGTGTCTACATGTTTACCCATATGCCTCTGTCCCCAGCAATTAGCATTAAAAATATTTGTATTTGTATTTCTGCCTTAAAAAGGAATACAAGATTTTCAACTTCCAAAAGGGGATTTTTCCTCCCTGCTGAACAGGAAAAGCAAGAAGTCTCGGAACTTACCTTAGTGAGGGCTGGAAACCCAGCTCCTGTGAAGAAATACCCATTTGCAAAGCAGTCAGAATCCACAGCCACCGTCTGGAGCTTGTCAAATCCCGAAGAGGTAAAGGACAGAGGTATCAATGAAAAGTGCAGGAGAGATGTGCTCTTAGAAAATAATATATATATATATGTATATAAATGCATATCTGTATGTATGTATATAGGTATGTATTCACTTCCGATCTCAAGTTGAACCAAGTCACAAAAAAGTTAAAGCGTGATGAGAGGTGGTTGGGTTGAAGAAGCAAGGCAGGGGAAAATATCCAGCCAAAGCTTCCCAGTAAAAAAAAAAAAAAAAAAAGGTGGGGGGCAGGGGAAACCTTTAGAAAGAATCCTTAAAACAGAAGAGTTGCAAGAGGTACTGGGACTTCGAAGCTTTTCAGAAAGCCCAGAAGCAGAAAGACAGATGTGCCCCGCTGGGGTCCCAGGTAGCCGCCCCACCTGCTGGCGAGGGCAAACGGGCTCGCATGTTCGCAGGCAGGTGGGAGGCGCCTGGAGCCGCCGCGGGCCGCTGGAGCCCGGCCGCCGCAGCGCGCAGGGGCCGCGGGGGGCTCGGGCTCCGGCCTCTCCGGCTGGCGGCCGAGCTGGGTGGTTCCACAGTTGCCAGTGCAGTTCGGATGCTGTTGTCTCAGCAGTGCAGGCAAGATACCATCCAGGGAAATGACTATTACATCATCTTAAAGGAATACGGCTGGGAGAAAGCGGAGGCAGCTCGAGTCGAGTCGTCCTCGGTGACAGGTCGCCAGGGCTGCACGGGGACGCCGCGCACCGGCCGCCGCACGCGACTCGCAGGCTCCGGGCTCGGGGCGGGGACGCGGCGCCGCGCAACCGCTTCCCCGGGCGTCCAGTCGGCGAGTCTGGAGTTTGCAAGGGCCTTCGCCTTACCTTTTCTTCCTGCCTTTACACCTCCACCGCCACCACCATTCCCCAACCCAGCGGCGACATAAACACAAGTGATTATGCATTTGAAAATCCACAAACAAATCTTTGCACATGCACTGAATTTCTACTGAAGGACAAATTTCCCCTGTATAGCTTTTTTTTTTTTTTTAAAGAAAAAAAGAAACCACACCAAATGAACCCCAATATTCAAGGTACAACGTGGCTTTTCTTTAAAATCAAAGGGGATTAAGCCGTGTCCTCACTCAGATCCCCTCTGTTTTCCCTCTTCTCCATCCCCTCCCCACCCCCCCCAGCACGAATAAATAAATACAATCTCTCTGGAATTGTAGCTGCTCATTCGAAAGAATGCACGAGGCACTGATAACCCTCAGAAAGCCCACAGTTTACATCAGTAAGTCATTATCTTAGCTTACCTGTAAGAAGTTGTTCTCTGCAACCTTTTTCTGGGGCTGTTTCTTTCTGAGCATCTCTTCGGACATCCCCTGCCCCCTCCCAACTCATCCCAAGAGGACTTCAGGGGAAGACACGCCCGGCTAAGAGACATTTTACTCCTGTCCCAGAGGGCTTCCTTAAGTGCATCATTATAGTTTCAGGAAGGCATTTCCAGGGCAACCTAATCGACTAACAAAGTGCTTCCAGTTGATCCTGCCAGTCAATAATGGCCCAGCCAACAGTTTACAGTAAGTCGGCCATTTCTCCTTTAAAATGCCAGTGTTTTAGGGTTTACAATCCTAATCAGAATACAGTGTTTCATCTATGAATAATATATGGGAGGCAAACTCCATCTCAAATAATTGCTATCTTAAAAAAAAAAAAAGAAAACAAAAAATGGAGACAAAAGTATGAATTAGATACATTTTAAGGGATCATGTGTTTACTGCCAACTCTTGCCCTGACCCAAGAAGTAGCTTAAAGATAGACTCAGCAGCAGGATAAATTAATTTCTAGTTTAACAATATTTTCTCTCAATAAGTATCAGGTTAGTGAACACATTCAGAGTATTAGCTAACACCCCAACACCTGATTATATTTGACTTTGTTCCTTTAACTAATGTATTAACCTGTTCTGCCCTCAATCATTTGGATTTTATGCTGGACCAAGCAGGGAAATGTTTACTATTTGATGCGCTTGTACCGCCATCTAGTGTCCATAAGCTATAAGTGCATATCTGCAATTGACCACTTACCAGAGCCAGAGGTTAGATTTTTTTCTCTTTATTTTAAAGTTTTTATATTGGTTTAAGCATTATTAGACACACACTGTTCACCATGATGACAAAATAAGAATTTAGTTGCCAACAGAACAAGGGAAAAAATGAGTCTGAGTCTATGCGCATTAAGTACTGGGTTTGTCCTAGTAAAAAATAAACAAATGCTTCATTTCAGTTCTAACAGAATAGGCCAGTACACCACCACAATACTTTCGGACACTGGACATTAAAATATTCTGGGGACAGCTTGACAGTAAATGGGGAACCGGAATGAGAAAAACCATAGTCTTTTAAAGCTCAAAGGAACTTGAGAAATAGAATTACCATCTCAGAGATACAGAATCTGAGGACCAGAGAGAGAGAGACAACGTCCACAAGGTCAGACAGGTGGGGAGTAGCAGGGTGGAGTTTAGACTATTTCCCAGTCAGTATGACCAGTGTCCTTTTTTAAACCGCATGTATTCTAGAATAAGGGTGGAATGGAGGCAAATACAGAAGACAAGAATTCCAAGACTACACATTTGGAAAAAAGTGGCAAGCCATTTGAAAGAGTTTTCAAGAGTAAGCTAAATTGCAAATCTAAAAGATCTAACAATTTAAATAAGAGGACTCTGAATTTAAAAATTGAGGAGTTCTGTTCATTGCTCTGGGTTTCAAAGGTTAGGCTATTTTTTGAGACAAGTAGTTTTTGATCTTTTTTGGATAATGGACTGGCTGGAGAATCTTAAGAAATCTAGAAGATAAATAAACAAGCCTAGAAGTTTTCATTCAATGTCAGGGGCAGAGCCTCTCAGGAAGGTCCAAATAAAGAGAGGAACCAGGGAGCAATGTGGACAGAGACTGACATTCAGAACTCCTTGAATTTTGACAGTGAACCTTCTTTTTGAAATGAGATGACATACACACTCACACAGACACACTCTGAGGACTGAAAACATAAAACACTCACCAGATAACCTTCACCTCATGACCCATGATTGGACCGCATCACCTGAGAGGCACTCTGAATTCGTATTGTTTAATAAATACTGTAAATGTCCTATGCTTTGCACAGTTGTATTGCTTTATATTTTGGAGCTTCAAATGTTAATTAATGATGTTAAACTGTTAGAAACACATGCCTGTTTTGTTAACCCTCATTAGGTATATTTACTTTTCAATCCACCTAGAGCCTCCAGAAATCAAGAGTGCCTGGGTATCTCTCTCACCTTTTGAGAGGTCAGGGGTTTGGCTCCAGATTGGCCTGAATCCTATTCAAGCTGAGGTCTGCAGGCCCCAGGTTAACATCTGATGCATACATGTTCTTGCTCCTTTAGGCTAGGGGATGCAAACAAATGAGAAGTGAGATTAAAGAGATAATGGGCTTGAAGGCAACAAAGCAATACACTATATAAAGAGATTTAAATAGTGCTGGAGTAAGCGCCTGTTTCTCAGGGAGGCTGTCAGGGAGCCCAGCTGCTTGGTGCCTTAACAAGAGGCAAGAAGCCAAGTCTAGGCTCTGAGCGTATTCCTGTCCGTGTCAGCAGATAACACAGCTAGTGTTATTGTTCTCTTCTGGCAGCTCTCCGCCGAAACATTGTGAGATGCCACTACTGGGCCCAAAGGCCGAATACACAGCAACAGATTTCTCTTAGGGCAAGAGCAAGGAAGAATATTTCATCCTGTTCTTTGTAATATTCGAGACTACAGCACATCCAGATACACCATAGGTAAACTGAGGAGCTAATAAAACGTAGCTTCACCTCTGTTCCCTGTCCCCTACCTTCACACACCCCCATAGCTGAATGTTGAAGAGGATATTCTCAAAAGGACAATTTAAAGTTGGGAGTAATGTGTTCATTTCCCCACATCCTTACCTTCTAACGTATCCTTGAGTTTCTTCTCCCTTCGAGCAGAGATCACTTTTATGCTGACTGCCTTTGCTATCAGGGAGAGAGTGATCTTATAAACTTATACTGAAATGCTGTGTGCTTATTGTGTTACATGCCTCAAGGACTCCTGCATTATCGTCATCACATAATAGCTACTGGTTACGGAGGGCCAGCCATCAAGAGCTCACAAAAGACATTGTCCCTCTTCCAGCTCTGCCTGATGGCTGTGGAACATCAGACAAGAGGCTCAGTGTCTCTGAGCCACAATAAAACGAAGA